CTCTCTATTATCTATATTTCAGATCTTTATTAAAAACCTCCAGCCTACTTGAGGCTCAATGCCCTATATCTGTACTGCTGAAATGTGAAAATTGTGATTCATTGTTATTACAAGAAACTAAGTCATCTCCAACATATGGTGTCCTAGGAATGAATGCCTCCAGAGTGACCTGTTCTTCACAGATCTGCTCAGCACTTCCAAGTTCAAGGCTATGGCTTCCTTAATGGAGTCAATCCATCTCATATTTGGTTTCTCCCTTCCTCTTCTGCCTTTGACTTTCTCTGGCATTATTGCATTCTCTGGTGAGTCTTGCCTTCTTGTGATTTGGCTGAAGTACAACAGCCTCGGTTTTGTCATTTTTTGCTTCCAGGGAAAGTTTGGATTTGATCTGGGATACCCTTGCTTGTCTCTCTTGGTCCAGGGTATCCACAAACGTCTCTCCCGCACTATGTTTTGAATGCATCAATTTTCTTTGTGTCAGCTTTCCTCATTGTCCAGCTTTCACACCAAGAGGTGATTCTGACTTCAAGAGAAGACCCGTGAAAGGCAAGATTCCAGAAACAGCTCTGCGGTTCATGGCTTTGCTGTTGAAATAACTTAGTGTGCTGTCCTTTCCACATTATATTTGTAGGCATTTTCAGATGCTTTACTTCATCAGTGGTGTTACAAAAACAGACTATGAGAAACAGTTCTTAATGGTCTGAGTTGACGACTAAAGTGCATTTTTCTTTACTTTTGTCCCATGTGTAGAGCGCAAACCTAAGATGCTAGGATAATTCTGCATCCAGGATCTCTGTGGGTTTCATTTTGACTTCTTTATCCTCATCCCCTGCTAGACGCTGAACACCCAGTCTCACAGAATGGCAGCAAGTGCTAAACCTTACTTACTCCTGACAGCATGAAAATCAACTGGCCCTGCTCTTTTGCTAGGAAGCCTACTGGTAAATGTAAGGATGTAAGTTTGTTTAAGGAGAAGAAAATAGAAGTTCACATTTCTACAGACTTTGTCCCTAGAGCCTGAGTCCTCACTAGGGTACCCAGAAGCACTGCTGTGACCACAGAGTTACGGTACAGTGTCCACCTGGCAGCTGGCTTCCCTCCAGGCCATATTGCTCACAAAAATGACTACCCTGCAGTTCCAACACCTGATGTGGACCCAGATCTACCTCACTTAGCCTTTGCTGTCTGTATTCACTCTTGCCGTTCTGGAAGAAGGTCTTCAGTATCTGCCATTCAGAATCAAAGAAGATGTCAAATTTAGGGGCATCCGCAGAGATCCTGAGCATCACTAGTGGCTGCAGACAGGATCATGTTGTCCTGCTTTGAGAATGTTCTCCAGAGAAGCTTGTCCAGTGCCAACTTTAATTTCTTTCAGAATCAAGTGAAGACTTAAACAAATGGATCAGACATTCCAGCATGGTGTGAAGCTGGTTTTAACTGTGGGTTTTGCTTTATCTCTTTTTTGTTTTTTGAATTTTTAAAATGGCTTCTTTTGAATTTGATTGTCTGGTAATGGCTGTTGCTTCAGTTGCTCCCACTGATGTTAACATTGTATTTTATTTAATTTGTTTTGACTCTATTGTGTCTATGTCACCCTGGGAGATTGCTAAAGGTGAGCTAATAAATGTACTAACCAAAATGATTAGGGGCAGCTAAAATGTGGGCTGCGTGTTAACCAGAGCAGCTGGGAGTAAACAGTGTTAATGGGTCCAAAGTCAACAGATAAGAATTAAAAAGTAAAACTTAATCTATTTAAGGAAAGGAGAGTTTTCACTGCATTTCAGCTAGGAGGAGAAACAAAACCAGAGTGAAACACATGGCCTCTTGAAATTCTCCACCATCTTTGTGGGCAGAAAAATGGTGTGTGTGTGTGTGGGGGGGCAATTTCACTAAATTCATCCAGGGGGAGGAAAAATTCTCAAACGTTTTTCACAGGACGGTTCATCACTGGCAGTAGAGGTACAGCTTCTCTCATCTTTTTCCTGAGTCTTCCTTGGCTAGTTGGCCCTAGTTTTGCACCCTTGATAAAGTGGTTTTGAGGCTGGCACTGTTATCCCCAGCTTCAGGGAAAAGCGAGATACAGCTCTGCTCTCCAGTTCCTGAAAGTTTCCGCCCTGCCTCCAATAGGCTTCTATTTTTCCCTTTCATTTCAGGGCATTTTATAATTAATTTATTGTGGTGTGTTTGAGCTTACCCTGATCACTGTGAAACAGCGGAGGGAGCTCTGCGTAGTCCTTTTTATTGTATCTCTCCATTGCTGTCTGTGCTTCTTAACCTGGGAAAGTCCTGTGCAAAGAGTTATCTCATGATGTCTTTTGGACTTGCCAAGTCTGTGAAGCTGAGGAAGCTACAGACCTCTGGAAAAATGAAAGTACAATTATAGACAAGACTGGAGTGTATATTCTTCAACCCCCTCTTAAGTAAGGTAAACATAAGAAAGCTCAACCCAATCCATAAGAATTACTCTGAATTTTTAAAATCTTTTCAAAAGCCATTTTTTAAATTTTACCCAGGATTTGTAACTTTTGGCAGGACTGAAAATTATTCTGTTTATTCATTGGGCCAAAGGGGTTAAGGATAAAGTAAATCATTACAAAACAAAACTAGCACATCATAGAGTAGAATGCAAATCTAGGGGTTATCTCATCTAACTTTGTGCCATTTTGCTACATGCCCTGAGCTTTTGTCTCTCTGATGCTTGGTGCAAGACAAGATCCTTAAACAGGAAATTACACAAAGCAGCAACAATAGCAGCTCTCTCTCTCTCTCATCTCCAGTTCTACTCTGTTTGCCTTGTAATACATCAGTCTATTGTTATCTCTAATCATTCTCCTGAAAGGGAAATGGAAGAAAGGAAGCAACTGGTGTTGGCAGGGACCATGCTGGGACAACCCTGCCCTCACTGACCAAACTGCTTGGCTCAGGTGTAAGGCAGGGGTAGGCAACTTGGGAGTTGTAGTCTAAATTATCTGGCAGGTCATACCATCCTTGACTATGCTGATGAAGGGGATGGGAATTGTAGGCCATCATTCCATCATTTACTGAAATACAGGCCTTCTTGTCATAGTTTTCTTCTTTCTGACATTTGAGGCAGGAGATTTCCAGTGACATGGACAACCAAGTAACAATAGAGCAAAAAGACTAGCTACAGTCATGCATAGCCCTAGTGATGCCTTTTCTTCTTTATGTACTTGCAGAAGAATTAATCAGCAGAATAAATCTACCTGATAAAATATAGTGAGACTATAAGTCCCGGCAATCAGAGGACAGCACACCGAAACAAGACATGCTGAAAATCAGAAGTGACTGAAACATAAAAGTAGGTAATAAAGTGCAATCAAATGATGTGGGAGAATTTGACCCATGAGTCAGAAATGAAACAGGAGAATGGCTCAAAGAATTCTTTGAAACTAACAGTCTGTTTGTTGCAAATACACACTTCAGGCAACCAGTGGAATGACTGTACACATGCATATCACCAGCTGGATTTGAATAAAGAAATCAAGTAGACTACATAACTGGAAGTAGAAGATGGAGATATTCTATCCTTGCTGTCAAAACAAGACCTGGAGCAGGTTGTGGTAGTGACCATGAATTCTTAGTAACAAAACTTAAAGCTAAAAAGATTACTAGCGGAAGAATAATGCCAAAATGCAACTTCAGTAACATTCCTGGGGAATTTAAAGTCCAAATACTGAACAGATTTGCAATACTCAATTCAATGACCATGAGCCAGAAGAACTATAGACTTAGACTAGAGACATGATTAGAGAAGAATGTTGAAAGACAGTTCCTGTAATAGAAAGAAAGAAAAAGCCTAGATAGATAACAGTAGAAACATTCACAGTTGCAAAGGCCAGGTGAGGAGCTAAAGGTGACAGGAATAGGATTCAAATCCTGAAGGCAACTTTTCAGTGACTGTCTCATAGATCGTACTATTACAATGGCCAGTGCAAAGAAATACATGAGAACAACAAAAGAGGAAAAAACAAGAGACCTCTTCCAGAAGATTCAAGAAATCAAAGGAAAATTCAAACCTAAATTAGGAATACTGAAAGACCAACAAAGGCTACCTGACCAGGATAAAATAAAGAGAAGGCGGAAACAATATACAAAAGTACTATACAGAAAATGCCAAAAGATAGCAGACTCTTTTGAAGAGGAATCCTATAAGGAAGAACTTGCAATATTAGAAATTGAAGTGAAAGCTGTTTTTGAAATAAAACACCTGGAGCAGACAAGGTACCAATAGAACTATTCCACACTGTAGACACTGAATCAGTCCAGATCCTAACAGGAATGTGTCAACAAATATAGAAAACAAAGCAATGGCCCACTGCTTAGAAACACTCGAAATACATTCCCCCAAGAAAGGAGATGCTACGGAGTACAGTGACTGTAGCACCTTGCATCAATTTTCCATGCAAGCAAAGGGATGTGCAAGGTATTGTGACAAAGACATTTATATGATATGCCACCTACTGACGAACTGATCTTAAACAAGATCTTGGACTGTGCCAAAATGGACAGACTGACTTTGTCTCTGAAGGAGAAAGAGGATACATACTTCTATCAAACCTGGAACTCTTTTTATTGTTGCCTAGAGAAACGGGACTATGCATAGATTTAAATATGTTTACGGATTGCTATTAAAAAGAAAGAGTGTGGGGGGCTGAGCCAGTAGGTCTGATGTTTCTGATGACTGATGTTTTTTTATTTCTTTTTGTTAGTTGGTAGAAAAAATAATAATAAAACTTACTTTAAAAAAAATATGATATAGAGCCAGAAATGCCTGATGTGCAAGCTGGGCTCCAAAAAGGAAGAGGCACTCAATATCATGTCACAAATATACTTTGTTTACTAGAGTGTATGAAAGAATTTCAAAAGATCAGTCTGTGCTTTATAGACTGCAACAAAGCCTTGACTGTTTGGGTCATGAGAAGCTACGAATGGTCCTGAAAGAGAAGGGGAGCCCCAGCACTTGACTGGCTGATCCATGACCTGTATTGTGGAGAAGAATCTACTGTTAGGACAGATGATAGAGAAACAGAATGGTTTCTTATAGGTAAAGCTGTCAGACAGTGCTGTATTTTATCCCTCATTTCAGCTTTCATGGAGAAGGAAAGCTGGATTAGAATCAGAGGAAGGAGTGACAATGAAGTATTGTGGTACGATGGTTTGAATGTCCTGCTTCAACTGCACACTGACTTGTGATGCCCACTAGGTAGCTGGTCACGTGCTCTCAGCCTAATTTACTGCATGGGATCAGGGCTGGTGCCAGATTCCAGTGGCCCTTGGCATAGTGCTGATACCTGTTGAGGGCTGTGCACCATGACCGATTCCCCACTGCTCTCCTTTCTTGCTCTGGCTTGCCAAGGAGGCACCTCCTTACTTGCCTGTGACGTGGCTTGAGAACATCTTTTTGGTAAGCCAGAAAGGGGGAACCAGTGCTGCCTTTCCTTCATCACCACAGCCCAGCTGCTTCTCTCCCAGCCCTTGCCTAAGCATGGATTGCTCCCCTCCTCCTGCTTGAGCAGCCCTCTGGAGCAGGAGGAGCGGGTTCAGCTTCAGTTCTGTGCTTCAGGGCTTGAAGCCTGTCTGTGCAGCAGGGAGAGCTTGAGAGCAGTGGAGAGCTGAACTTGGCTCATGATTGTGGCTGCCAGTGTGAGGACCCTCCTTCCTTCCTGTGGTGCCTCCTGGGATACCACCTGCAGGACTGAGAAGGAAGAAAATGGTGGACAGGAGGAGTGTTACTAAGCTGAACCTGATTGTCTTTCAGGCATATCCACACAAAAATTGCAGATGGTGGAAACTGAGGAGTATCTCTTGTCATGTTGCAAGAAGCCAGCCAGAGGGCATGCCAGCGCCATGTGCAAATCTGGCTCCACAGTGGCCCAAAGACCTTGAAGTTGTCAGGGCTCAGTTTTGTTTGCCCTCTGGATTCCTCTTTCAAACCAGGAACTGCTTAACTCAACAACCCGGGTGGGTTGGTTTGTTTTTACATTGCTTTACATAAACGTCTTCAGTGTAACAAGCCAGTGCTGCTTAAAGAACATGGAGCTACCAAGAATTACATGGGTTCAGCTGCTCAGCTGAAACAGTGATAATCATGCAAACATTTCTGTCTTCACTGATGGGTATAATTTGTACTTAATGAGCAGGCTGCACCAGGGATCCAGGCATGTGATGAGAGTTCCAGAAGGCCAGTGGCACTTTATTGCTTTGCTGATTGGTTTTCGTGATATTGGAGTTTAACTGCAAAATCTGCCGTGGGAAAGCTGACTTGATGATGATATTCATATTAAGAACAATATTTCCTTTCCACTCTATTGTGTGGTTTATAGTATCTGACATTCCTTGGCCTCATTCTTGTTCAGCTCAGGTGTCCCTGGATGTCTTGCTTTGCTATGAGAACCTGGCCAATAAGGGATCCTACCGCTTCATCATCCATCACATCTGCTCACGTGACCAGATCACTGAGGGCAAAGCAAGACCTTCAGCTGCCCTCACTTTGACTGAGGGCAGAAACAAGGAAAGACATGCCTAACTACCAGGTAACCATAAAGATTTCCATGGCAACAGGAATTCAGTTCCTCTTTCTCTGATAACGAACCCTTTACAAACAGTTTCACATCCTTTTGCGTAGGGCTAAACCAGCAATCTCAAAGGACAGGCGCATTTCACAGAGACAAAATGCACAAGTGCCTGCATTTAGTGTCTGTACTTGAACCCTCCCCCAAGTTAACATGTGTTCACACAATGGTTATTATTATATGGAAAACATGGCAGTGTGGGAAAACAGTAACGCTAAAGACGTGACTATTTCCTGATGCTCTGACCTTAACTATGTTTACATAGCAGTATGGTGGAAGCATTTGCACTCATTTCAGTGGCCTGTGCTCCAGGGCATGCCATCTTCCAGGAGAAGCGCACGAGCCCAATCGTGTGAACACAGTGATGGTGTGAAGCCCAGCCAGGTGGGCTTTGCCAAGAATGTGACTTAGGTTTCATTAGAAGTCAAGAGGCCATGGCTTTGTAGCCCAGCCTATAAAAGTACTTCCCTTTTGCTTCTTTACTTTTCAGAGTAGCCCTGTTTCATGCCTGCATTAATCTTGGAATCAAGCCTGCTGCAGCGCCTTCTACTCAACCACGCTGCAAGCATAGTCTGTGATTCTGTCACATGTGAAGTCACGATGCTAAATAGTGACTGATCTATTTGCAGAACACACAGATGTCACTTGCTGGCAGGGGAGCTGGTCTCCCCTGCCAAGGATTGATTTTCGTGTGTCATTCATGGTTTATTTTGGAGAGTAAATGACTTGTTCTTCGTGAGCTTTTCTAATGAGGCATTTATTGGGTGTTCATGGCTCCTTGCTAATGGTAGTTTGTGGGTCCTTTACAGGACTTCTCCCCTCCAGGGCCTCTCCTGTGCTTTCCAAGTGTTTCTGCACTTTTTTAGAGAGAGGCAAGTGTCATAGTTAGAAACAAAGCTAAGAAATGTGATGTATTTAGAGGGTTTTGCTCCATCATGGCGCCACCTTTTGCTTGTGTAATGGAACATATTGAAAGGCAGGAAAGAGAATCTTCTGGGGTAGGGAAGGAGAACCTCATATAAAAGACCTGATCTTAACCACACAAATAATCCAGAAGCAGAAATGGCAGGTTAAAAGTCTCGTATACAGAACCCCACTGATGATGGGTTTCATTCTCTTTCCTTGAATTCCAGCATTAATTTAGGCTTTTTTGTGGGGGGGTGGGCAGAAGAAAAGGGGATAAAAAGGGAAGTGAGGAGAGTTCTTGTGCCACAGGTCAGTTGAGTTGTTCTCTTATATTAGAAGGTCTTCATCAGTAAGAAGGGGCTGAGAAGACTTCAACCTATGCAAGTATCGTGCAGGTTGAAGCCTTAGGTTCTTTGGCCACAGACTAGAAGGCCAATGGAATTCTTTGTCAGCTCAGCTCATGCATGAGTGCTGTTAACTGAATGACAGCATGATTTGTGGAAGCTGCATGTGTGAATGATCAGTCCCTGATAAAAGGCAGAGATTTTGTACCATGACAGTTCACACACAGTGCTCTGAGTCTCACCAGGTGGGTTGGCATGGATGAACAACCCACCATGGCAGCCTTTCCCTCTCATCCCAGGGGACCCTGGTGGGTGGAAGGAGGCTCCTCTCCTCTCGAGCACAAATTGGTTTCACAGTGCAAAAGAGTTGCTGTTGCTCAAACATGTCTTATGCCTTGAAGCTCAGCAGAGAGGACAGGGGAGCTGATCGGGCTTCCCACTTCCTGCTCCAGGTTGGGTCACTGGGGCAGGAGGGAAACCTCTGATAGCTGTTAAAAAGTTGACAGTTCCCCTCACAGAAATCATGGAGGAAGATGTCAGTGAAAGTTCCCATAAGGTGAAGCCAGTGCCCCTGTTTCTATCCACTGGAAAGCAATTTCCAAAAGCCAGCACGCTCCTCTCCCTTGCAGACTTTTTGATTATCTATTAAAGATAATGCGAGTTACTTCTGAGCAGATATGCAGTCTTCCTTGAAGCAATGAGATGATCCAAACTTTTTGCAAAGGGAAGAGGAGAAGTGACCAGCATTGCATTTACTCTCCAGCTCAGAGAGGGAGTGGGGAGGATGCTGAGGGAGGCAGGAAAGCAACTAAAGGTTGCATTCTTAGATTAGCTCCTTCTCAGAGTTGCAAGCCTTGGTAGGATACTTCTTCTTCTGCTCCAGCCCCAGACCATGAAGCTACTCCTGGCCCCAGGACCAGAAATTTAGCATACAGCAGAGTGTGTATGCGCACATGTGTTTGCATGTGTGTACAACCCAATGGGAAAAAACCCAACATATTAAAAGTCATGATATAACTTGTCTGAAAAATCCAGAAAGTAATGGCAGGCATCGTGCAAGGACGACAGGTTGGGGGAGTGTTGTGATGAATTGTTGAGTCAGAAATTCCAGTCCCTCATGTGATCCCCACCAAGGTAACCCACAGGAATGTTGTTAAACAAGAAGATGGAGTGTCATGACGCCATTCAGTTGACTGAGGACTGCAAAGGTCACATACTCCCATCACCAGCTTTAGTAACAAGCAGTGCCAATGCTGTAATGAGGAAGTATGTTTTATTAAACTCCTGGCTTACTACTGATGGCATATGCAAGGGATCAGACTACACAAATAACACCAAGAGTTAGGAACAATCACCAGCTTCATTCAGGAACAATTTGAACTTCACCTTAAACAAATACTTGTAGAATGAGTGCTAAATCTGTGGGATTTGATGTATTGATTTCCAGTCATTCAGTTCTGAAATTCCAGAAACCATGGGAACAAGTCACATGTCAACCACAAATTAGCCTACCTTTGCAGAGGGTCTGACAACCCGGGTAGCTTGTAAGCTTTTTGATTTTAATTTGTCTTCTAGCCAGAGACTTAGCGAAAGTGAACTATAAGCAGATATGATGTCCCATTAGAATTGGGTTAAATGGCTACATTTGTAATCAAATGGAAGGACTTCCAGTGCTGTCCATTAATCTTGGCACCTCCAGAACTGTTCCAAATAGAAATATTTTATGAAATGTCACATGGAGATGGGTAGAGACCTGTTCTCCCCTGCAGAGGAAGGCAGGATGTGCTCCAACGGAGCAAAGCTCAGGGAGCCAAGGTTCCATTTGGATGCCAGGAAGCACTTCTTGACAGTCAGGACTCCGAGGGTGTGAATGGGCTTCCCCGGGAGGTGGTTGAGGCCCCATTGGTGCGGGTGTTCAAGGATGGGCTGGACGTGCACATGGTGGGCATGTCGTGAGCGGAGCCAGCTGGTGCCGGAGGTCAGACTAGATGGCCCGGGAGACCCCTTCTGACTTGCTCTGTTTTCTATGTTTCTATGATTTGGAACAGAATGGCTGCAAAGCTGTCATTCAAACTACTGGAGGACACCAGGATGCCAGCCCTTGCTTTTGGATGTAGCTAGCATCCGTGTTGCAGAGCTGCTTCCCGAGAATGGAGTTCTGTAGTTGCAAGTCACTTAAGGTCTTATGAGTCATCATAAGCATCTCCAGCATCCTGAACTGAGTTGCCCAAGGGGGACACTTCTTGCACATGCACCCCCACCCCCAAGTCATCTCTGACAGGCCATCTGACATCCTCCCCTCCTGCATTAGCTGTGGGAGCACTGCCCAGGGTTTCCAGTGGTAAAAGGGGGCCTCTCCCTTATCCCTAGTTTCTTGGGGTTCCTTGGATAGGGAAAGCGAAGCAAGGGAGTCCTGCTGATTTCAGTGGGATGTTGGCATCAAGATCAACCAGGTCGTTGGCACAAAACTGTAAATAAGTGTGTAGTAGCTGTAGGATGTGGGATAAGCAGTTTATAAACATAGCTGAATGGTCAGAAAAAATCCTAATGGATTCTTCTCAAAGACATTCCATAGAAGACACCTGCAGACAATCAGATGGGTTGAACTGCATTCGTGTCAGTTCTAGATAAGTGCTTATTTCAAGGTTACTTTACTGTACTCACAGGCTTCCGGTTATGTTCTGTGAGCATTTTCCTCTTTCTTGCTCATATCTTAAAGTGGGATGGGGAAATCCGGGTCTCCTGGGATCGCAGTCGTCTCTTCCAGAGTTCTCCAGATGGCCCTGCCATGTCCCTCTCTCTCTAGCAACTTTTCTTCTACAACCTCATCTTTGGGTTTCCTGGCTTTGGTGCATTCTTCACCATTTATTTACACCATAGACATACCATCCTACATCCAGTAAAGTTCCCAACCTGCAAACAATAAAAAGGAAGGGAAAAGGAATAAAAAAGAGTTTTTAAAAAAATCATAATCAACTTATGGCTTTAGAACTGTGGCTACTTGTTCAAGGAATGTGTGGTTAAATAAAAATCTCTTCCAACAAGTGCTAAAATGTAAAGAGGCACCAACATTTTAATATCAACAGAAAGGGACTTCCATGGAGAAGAAGTCAGTATTGAGATTTTGGTTCTAGGCTCCAAATTGCCTTTAGGCTCATGTGGAACAACAATGCCTTTCTAAAGGCGTATTTAGTGATCATAAGAACTTTATTAGCGTATTCTAGCAGGCAGCCCCAGCGCCAGCGTGCCTTTGATCCGGGCCCTCTGCCCCCAGCCCTCCCCTTCACTGGAAGGTGGCCCCAGGGATGTCTGTGAAACTGGGTGCAGCCTCTGGCTGAAGGAGGATCCCAATCTGGGCATGTGCTTAAGGTAAACATTTCCCGAGTTGAAATATATTTGATTTAAAAAAATAATTGACAATATCTGAACTTGCATCTTGAGTTCCTATTAATGTTAATAGGCTCACAGCATGCAGTGCTAATGTACTTCTGAAAATAGATTATCCATTTGTATTTTAGGAAGTAGACACGGTCCAATTACCCTAGAGAGTTTTGATTTGTATGCCAGTTTCGAGCACGTTCTGTTCCAAACCTATTAATGTAGTAATAAACTCATCTGGTATAAGCTCACTGAATCACCAGTGCCTGCCCGTTCAAAAGAGGGATTGGAAATAAAATCTGTTTAGTGTGGCCCTGGAAAGAAGGCCCTTGTCCTGCTCCAGAAGGCACCATGCATCCTGTGCCCACTGGAAAATGCCCCCGCTATTATAGCGGATGGGGACTGGGGCAAGCAGGGCCACGTCCCGGGGAGGCTGCTGACTCCTGCGTCAAGCGGCCAGGGGAGACTGGTGTCACTGGGGCTCCTCGGCCATCCCAGATCTTCCTTTGCACTGCACAGAAACTACCCACAGCCCTGAATGCTGTTCCCCAGTGCAGCACCACGGATGGCAACAGCAGGGCTGAAAAGGGAAGCGGCAAAGATGAGGCGCCCCACCAATGCAGCAGCCCCCAGCCTCCCCTGGCTGTGTGATCCATCGCCGCCACTTGCATATTGCACTGGATGTGGGCATGAAGTCGGCTCACACTGGGGTGTCTCCTGTGAGATCCCCAGCCCAGTTTCCCCTGCTGGCCAAGCAGGGTCTGTGCACGGATCCTTGTACACTCATAGGAGCGATACCTGCGCCAAGGAGCTGCGTGGAAGCCAGGGACACCCAATGCCAGAACGGGGCTTCAGGCTGCCTCGTGCACTTCGCTAGAAGCTGTTGCAGGTGGGAAAGTTACGGGTTTTCTAATATTTAATTAAAGTATTTTTATCCTGTTCCTTAGTACAGTCAATAAAAGCAAGGCAGTCCCTGCCCACTGGCTTACAATCTTAACAGATACAACACAAAAGGAAAAAGGGATTGGAAGGGAAGAGGAAAAATGGAAGTGGCATTCAGTACAGTTGGTAGAAGCATCTTTCTATTAAAAACAGAGCAGCTT